TGAAGATTAAACATTTTCATTTGTACATTATGTTTATTGACTTTTTAAGCTTTCGCACTTAACTAATCGCCTTTGAAACTATCTGTAAAACATCTTTTCTAATGCTGATGTGTTGCTATTAGTATGTCTAATTATCTACGTTGTTTAATGTGATTTATACCTGGGCTGAGTGTCCCCCAGCTGTCACAGGAGTATGTTAATGATACCTTGCTATTCTTCGAAATGAAGATTCGAGAATTATTTGTTCTCTAAAATTATAAAATTTTTACTGTATCAATTTTATCTTTTTTTCCCTCCATGCTATCAGTGTTACCCGTTTCCATGGCAGTTGGAAATGAGTTCGTACCTTTATAATCAGCTTTAATGCTTTGAAGGTTCAAAATTCATTGCTTAAATGAAGTTACAGTAGAACATCATTTTTTAGCAATGAACTACGTAAGCATGAATACAATGAGACATTGTTAGGACAGGAATATAGGTGTTGGCGCTGTTATCACTATAAAATGGCTACATCGAAAGTTAATTATATTGTTTTGAGCATAATCAGGCCATGTGTTGACGCCTTACTGTATTGAAGTCCCTGAGGATGCGCAGTGCCGCTGGAACGATGATTTTCCTATAAAGCTCTATCTGGCAATTGATTTTCATAAATCTTGTTCTGATGCTGGCCGCGCGCGACCAGCACTGAGTGAGGTATTTTTGTGAAGTAGACTGGATCGTTGACAGTGGTGTTCTCCCTGCAAATGCCGTGCGACATTGCTGATTCCGCTACTTGTAACGCGAAGTCGTTTAAGTGACGACCGTTGAGTCTAGAAATATATTTCAGTGATCGCCTTATTGTATTGAAGTCGTATGTTTGCATGGAAAAATCGCCGCCCCTGTGTAGATGTACTGAGATAGAATGTAAGCATTCTTGAACTTCGTCCATCGAATATTTCTTCTGCGAGAGAGGGAGAACTTGTTCTACGGTTCAGCATAGACGTAGCAATGATAAAATTGCGGAATAATGATTTGCC